TTGGGGTAGGGCCTGATCGAGCACAACTTTTATTTTCCCTACATTGTTTTCTTTTTCTTTCGCGTGCATTCCCTTTTCAGTTTTAAGCCATAGACATAGGATTTGACCACACCCATTAGATTAGACAACAAGAGTGGATACCGTAGAGTACTACGAGCGTGTGGGGTGCTAACACCTCCCCCTCGCGTAACAGACTCCCTTACCCGATCTCTCGATCGAAAGGCCATGATTTCTCCCTCTTCAGGTTTTCTTGATGTTTACTTTTCCCTTTCGGTGCGATAAAAGACGTTCGGTGGCGACTTCATTGATGTTTCATTACATCCAGATGACAAGTTCCGGCCGCGTGTTTCAGCTTCTTCTCATAAAAGACCAACAATACTCTCAAAATAGAGATCGTGGCAATATGCCCCTGTTTGGAATGACAAACTTCACTGAAGGATAAACAACCTGAACTACCAACCACTGGGTAAAGACTGTGATGCAAGATTGCAACTTCATCATGTCAACTCCGAGGAGGAATGCCACTGAAAAGTGGACTTTAGAGAGGATACTGCAAAAATAAATTGCAGTCCACGGGAAAGAAATCATCTTGACTTTAAACAGCTTCTAAATTTCTTGAGAGTACTATCATCGTACACCTACGTGATAAGGATGGAACCTTATTAAAACCTCATCTGAGCGTGGAAGACACAACCATCTAGGGTAATCTACATCCCCTATCCGTCGTGTTCCACTCTATTCCTAGTGTTCATGTGGTTTTCACTTGGCCTGGGTATTAGGCCTTTTACCTCTTGTAACACCCACCCAACATGGAAACAAATTCATCACAACAGATAACCAATATGGAAAGTAATAAAATGCATGCACAAACATATGCAAGTAGTGTATATAAAGCTATAAATAACAAGAGGTAAATAAACACCCAAAGAAGTAAACAAACAAGAGCTAGGATCGACTCGAGGATGGACCAGCAATATGTCAACCTTATCCCCAGTGAAGTCGCCAGCTGAAACAATCGGATGAATAATCAACTGATAATGAAATCAATGAAGTCTCCATCGAACGTTTTTAATCCTACAGGAAGGGAAAGGTAAACATCGATTAAACCCGAGAAGGGTGAAATCAAGTTCGAACGACCGAGAGATCGGGTAAGGGAGTCTGTTAGGCGAGGGGAAGGTATTAGCACCCCACACGTCCATAGTACTCTACGGTATCCACTCTTGTTGTCTATCTTATTTGTGTGTTTAATCTATGCTTACTGTTTACTACTAAGGAAGAATGCATGCAAAAAGAAAGAGAAAAGAATGTAGGGAAAATAAAAGTTGTGCTCGCTCGGGCCCTACCCCAATGCCTACGTATCCCTTTTAAGGAATCAGAGCAGCCGTAGTTCGGCTTCAAATGTTTTTGTTGGTTTATATTTTTTCATGAATAATATTAATTTCGCCTCCTGCCGCAGCTCGACCTTTGGAGACTCATGCATCAACACATAAGTGAATTAACATGTTCTTTCTGAAAAGTTTGAAAGAAAAGCCCGGAGGCGCAAAAGAATTTGTATTGGTTGATATCTTTTACCTTAAAGAAAGATTTAGAAGTTGTTAGATGTTTTATGCTTTTTTCCAAAAAAGGTAGTTTTTTTTTTTAAAATGCAAAGATGCAAAAGAAAAGAAAACATCTAAGGGAGACTAACCTAAATCTATCCCTAATGTTATCATATAATGATTGATCCTAAAGTTGTGTTTTGAAGGGAAATATCTAACCTATGTTGACATGCTTGGATGACAATCCTAATGTCTATCTCAACTCATCCTCTATAGAAGAATAAAGAAGTCCTAAAGGAGCATAGCAAGGGTCTACCACCTAAAACTATGTCTATTTCGAATCATCATCTATAGTCAAATCGGGAGCTCCTAAGAGAATATGTCGAGGGTATATCATCTCAAAACATGCACACAAAGATGAAATCAAACAAGCAAGCCAATAAGCTCAAGAGAACACACCTAGAGATATCCTATCTAGGTTAGCATGCCAAAGAAAGTCTAACAAGAGTATCCTACGGGGAACATGCAATGAGAGCGAAGTTGTGATATCAATTTCTAAATTGAGTGACTCTTCGATCAACAAGAAATTAAGGAAAGCGATGAAATCTTATAGGTAGCATGCACTGAGAGCGAAGTCGTGACCTCAATTTCTAAATTCAGTGACTCATCGATCAACAAGAAATCAAGGAAAGCGATGAAATCCTATAGGGAGCATGCACTGAGAGCAAAGTCGTGATCTCAATTTCTAAATTGAGTGACTCATCGATCAACAACCAAGGAAACAAACAAAAGCACAACATATATAACGAGTGAAGTGCGGAATGCCTGCTACAGGTCTTTAAATAGCGACTTCGAGCACACGCTCTTTATTTCCTACTTCTCATGATATCTAGAAAGCAGTAAAGTGTGAAATGAGATAAACAAGAGAAAATAACAAATGAATATCAATCCGTAGTGAAGCGTATCCAAACAAAGAAACCCGGCGATCTTCGCGAAAACTTCACCATTCAAAGAAAAGAGTCGGAAGTCAAATGTTCGTAATAAGCATCGAAGCATCATCGATGTGAAAATAAATCACAATTAAAATCTCAAGCGCATCCGCATACCACACAATAAACCTGCATAAGATTCCCATCTCAACAAGAAAAAGTGAATTACCAATCTCAAATATAATCGGATAATCATAATTTAATTTCCTAAAACTAAAATAAAAAAATCTACAAGTTTTTATTGATTTTATTGTTTTTATCATGTGAAAGAAAAAAGTTCAAGCAAATCTAAACAATTCACAAAATTATTCAAAAGGAAATATTGAAAGAGTAAACTCAGGGGGTTATGCTGCAGTCAGGGGGTGATTAAATAATCTGGGTGCTGCAGGCCAGTTGAAGAGAAGCCCAAAAAGCTATTTTTTTTGTAATACAAGTTAACAAGCTATTTTTTGTTGTTCTAAGCTCTCCAATTCCAAAAATTCACGCTGGGCTTTATGATGAGTGTAGTTCGGCCCGGTTCAACAAGGCAAGTCCGGTAGTATGAGTCCAATTTTGATCCACGGGCAGGTTAGTAATGGCCCAAACAGAATCCATCTCAACCCGTCCAATTTCCATAATTGTTTCACTTTACACAATATTTGCTGGTTATTAAAATTAAGGAAAAATAAAAAAAAAGATTGAAAATGAAACGATGGCGTTTTTTTGGGATATGGTTCACAATTTTGTGTCTCTTTGTGTTCTCATGAGAATAGAATTCTCTTCGTCTTTCTCAATCTCGCAACCGCGGTGGTCGAATCTTCTCTCAGTCGCTCTGAATCTCCTCCGTGGTTCCATCTTCCTCAGTTGCGATTCGGCTCCACACTGTATCTCCATTTCGTGAGACTCTCTCCTCCATCTGCGATTTCGGTATTCATATCCTCTTTGAATCACAAGCTCTGAAGATCTAAAAATCTAAAAGCTAAGTCACATCCTCCCCACGTCCAATCGAAACTCTGGACTTTGGGGATCAAACTCCAGTATACTCGGGCTACACCATAATCATGAAGAAATAGACATAAGAGGAGAAGGCATATTGAAGATCGAACCTTACCGACTGGAGGAAGTTTGATGCCATCTTGACGGCGTCAAAAAACATAAATTCATAGGTATGAATCTTCAGTCTCTCTACACTCTTTCTTCTCTCTGTTTCCATACGGTTTTGTTTCTACTTACTGTTGCATCTTCGTTATTGTGGAAGCTGGGAATCAGACGAGAAAATCCTCAATCTTGGTGTATTGTGTAGCTTAGTGCGGAAGAGGCCTGAAGACAGTAAGGGTTGTAGATTCGTCGACGAGGATCTTTGAAGGTTGATGAATGATTTGCAGAAGAAATTGCTACGCGAAGACATTGGTAGTCGAATTAGAAGCGATGTTGAGGAGCCTTGAGACGAGGATGCGACTTTAAAGCAGAGATAATTTCAGAGGAAGCCTGCAAATTTTGGTGATGATGAAGATGCGGTTATGGTGAGAAAACAAGCAAAGAGAATTTCTTGATTTTCTAGTGGATGAAGATGAAGATGGAGAATAAATATTGGGAGAAGAAAAAGTGTCTCCTTTCTGTGATTCTTTCGAATGTTGAAAAATGGTTGAACCCATGTGAGAATTCTGTTATATATCTCTGTTAGATCTAGAAAAGTTTGTTACAAGGCAATTGAGTCTGAACTGCTAATTCTAACAGTTAGTTACAAGAATTGGAAAGCTGAGATTTGTTTGAAATTCTGTTATAAGCTGAGCTGGCAATTCAATTTCAATTTCCCAAAATTTCCCATCTATTTTCCCCGATATTTTCCTTTATATTTTCTGATTATTCCCTCTGTTTTATTGAGTTGGCTTATTATTTCCGATATCTGATTTTTCTTCTTATTCTGTTACAACCTTTCCTCTTCAGACTTATTGGTGAGAAGATAAAGAAAAACACAACAAGAACTGGTTTTGGAACTATTTCCAAAAGCTCTTCATCTAATCCATAGACGTCATCGCACCTAGCTTGATCCCCCAGAAGAACAAGACCAGAAAGGCATTGGTTCATGACATCAGGTTTAGCTTCAAGAGAAAGCCATATTTTTGAAGAAGTAGTAGCCATTTTTTCTGTTTATTCTATTTCTAATTTCCAATTTCCTTTCTCATTTCAGTTTCATCTGACTTTTGGATTATTTTATGGAATAAGCCTTGGTGTTGGTAGCAGCCGCGAGTTAACTTGATATAGGATAAGTCTTTACTAGTTTGAAATTGGTTTATCTGGTTTGGTATAATAGCAATTAGGTGAACCCTTTTTAGGAGTTTAACACATGATCCAAAAGAATGTTGCCTCTTTAGTTACTGCAGGTCTGGCAAAGTGTTTTGGTTTTGACTTTTGAATTGTCTTCAAACTCTCGTCACCACCCAGTACTGACTATTAAGGTTTCTAGACACCTTATATGATCTAAAATTCTGGTATGCTGCTCGACCGTGATGAATAGTCAGATACCAACTTTAGAAGCATGGATGGCTTATCTTCTAATAGCCGTAAAAGAGTGTCAAACTCAGCAACTCGACCATCATTGAGCACCAGAACTCGATCACTGTCTGTAATAGTATGGATACGATGTGCAATGGTGAGCACAATGCAGGCTTTGAACTCTGTTCAAATAATCTTCTGGGTAAGATTATCAGTGACGGTGTCGACAAATGCTATTGCTTCATCAAGTACAAGTATTTTTAACTGCTTCAATAGAACTCAACCAAGAGAAATAAGTTATTGTCGTCCTACACTCCAATTGTCTCCATTTTCTATAACCCGTTTATCAAGCTTTTATTCTTTCTCGCAGATGATATCTCCTTATTTGAATTTTCAAAGTCTTTCCTCAAATCTTGAATGAATGAGATGTAGTAATCCTTGTTACTTGAATCTTGAATCTTGAATGTAGCATCTTGTGATGCAATTGTATTTTGATGACTAATGTAAAGCATGGAATGTAACTTTTTAAATTATAAATGATAATTGAAGTAAATCTTGACTCTTGTACTTTGTATGTTGACTTTTTGTAATGAAGCTTTTCCAAATGAATTTGATAAAATAGTTTCCCTCCTTTGTATCTTCTGAATACTGAATATCAACCCTTTTCAATTTGTATTTCATGTGAATTCTCCAATCTTTCTTCAATCTTGCTATAATTGAATGAACCACTAGATGAAGGCCTCAAAAAGATTTAAGAAGGACCTTGTCAAAAGTCAACCTTCCATGGTTGATTTTGACCAAAAATCAAAGTTTTGGCCAATCTTTCAAACTTGAGATGATTCAATAATAACACCATGTGAACTCATATTCACTCTTTACATGAAATCCACAATACAAATCTTGTAAATCGATAAATGGTGAACCAAACCTTAATTAATGGTAGAAAGTCTAAACGAAATCCTAATGAGACGAACTATCATGATGGTAATAGTCAGTCCATAAGACCCTAAAATTCACTCGAGCAATGAGGAATATCCATTGAATGATGAGATTCATTGATGAACCCAAACTTTATAAGGAAATCTTTTGACTACCACATGATTAGAGAAATAAGCCTTAATTCCATGATCTTTGAGTCTTTAAGCCTTGAGTTGGAGCCATACCCTTCCTTGAGGAAATTCCTCGACTCAGATGAAACTGGAAGCATAACAAGACGTCCATATGATAGAAACCCTAATTTCTGGAATTGAGAAAACTGGATGGAGATTGACCTTATGGATTCGCGAAGAAGAGATTCTTAATGACCACAGACCACAATCCTAATTCCACTGTTCAATGTTTGAAGAAGAAATAAGCTTTATTGGATACAAACGCCTTGACTAATGTAAAACCCTTATATTGCACAACCATGAAACTTTGAACCAAAAAACTATATTGAATAAAATGTATGTCATGTTAGTGACCTAAATATGCGAATGCGAATGAACGCAAAAATCTAAACTAGATAAAAAAAAATTAAGAGAAAAAAATTTTGGAGTGCGACAAATATTATATATTATTATTTATTTTTGTGTCAAATAAATAAGGAGTTAAAAAATTGCCAAGGTTGGGACCACATCCCACACGATTTCACGTTTGCAGAAGAAGAAAAATCAAAATTTTTATTCACACTTCAAAACCAAATTTTCCATTCATCTCAACCATCCGGTACAAACACTCAAGGGCTGAATATTCCTCTAAACAGATTGGCACAGATCGATGGACAAGCTCCAAAACAAAATTTTCCATAATTCAGCCCAACCGATTATACTTATCCCACTTCCATAATTCATCTTTAATTCCTCCTCTTATTTTGTTTTAATTAACATAGTTTATTTTTATTAGATAACATTTTTTATTTGTTTAAATTAGTTAATGAATTAGATAATAATGTTTTTCTTATTATTAGATAATATTAGATAGAATTTTCTTACTTAGTTTAATTTAAGAATTAACTTAGTTTCTTCTTAGAATTTTCTAATATTTTGTATAGTTACTAATTGATTTGTTTAGTTACTTTTTTTACATGATTTTATTTGTTGTTTTAATTCAAATGTTTATTGTCTACATGTTTTTATTTGTTTAATTTTTGATTATTTGATTTTATCTTTGTACATTTTTATTATTTTTAGTTAATTAATAAATATTGATTTGGTTAGTTCATTTTGTTATTAAAAATTAATTAGTTTTGTTAATTAATTTTTCTTAACATGATTAATTAAGTTTGATCAATTCTTGATTAATTAATTAAATATTTACTTCATATTTCATTTAGCTTTAATACATGACTTTGATCATTTGAACTTTAATTTTATTTCACATGAGATTTTCGATTTTCATGTGACGCATGAGTTCTTATCTGATACCTTGAGTTTCTTTGATGCGCTTTATGCTTGTGATTATTTTCACATGATACTTGGTATACTCTTGGTTTATATATCTTCTTGTGGTTTTAAATCCAAAGGGATGAGAATGCTATATTGATTTCTTTATATCAAGTATGAGTTTCCATTTGGTCAGATATTCCTTACCTTTTCTTTTACCTTCCTGTACATAGAATATTTGCTTCATCTCCTTCCCATTCTTTAGTTTTTTCAAAACCTTCTCACATTTTCAAAACCTTTCTTGTATAAACTCGAACCACTTTCATAATAAACCTCGACTTTGTCAAGTGCTTTTTTTAAAAAAAAACTTATTTTCTTCTCAAACTTCTCAAAAAACTTAATAAATGATTGAGGTAATGGAAAGGATGAGAGGGTACAAACCCTGACTTGTCCTTCTTTAATTCATAGAGTCCCTGGTGTGATTCAAATTCCAAACTCTATTTTCACAATATAGAGGGATGATAAGTGTCCTAGTAGTGGAATCCATTTATCATCTTACCTACAAAAAAACTTCAACTCATTCAAACCTTTTTGTGCGCTCGAGCACCTTTTCTCTTTAAAACCTTTTTCAAGATTAAACATGATTCATTTATGGTCGAGACGTTATTTTCCTATCCCCATATTGTAAAGATGTCGACTTTTCCACTCGAGTACCAGAGGCGTTCTCAAACCCCCACTCTTGTTGATGCATTGTCTGTCTTTCGTACACCTTGTGGGCGATTAGTTGAGATTTCTCTCCTAAAAATGACGACTTATCTCTTCGTTTAAAATCAATCAACAAACAACTTTTTTCTAGCCGAACTACGATGCTATGACTTTCCCATTGTACGAGGGAGTACGTAGGCACTAGGACTCACGACCCAAAGCGAACAAAAATAATTTAAAAAAATTATTTTCTTTTGTTTGTAAATACTCATTCATTCATCCCCTTTAACATGTAAGCATGTAGATAACACACTCTTTGAAGAAAATAAACAAAGTAGATCCTGTGGAGTACCATAGATGCATAGGGTGCTAATACATTCCCTCTACATAACCGACCCCGTACCTTGATCTCTGATATTTTATTTCATTTTGGGTTTTGTTCGCTTTTTTCCCGTTTACCTTTGAAAACAATAAAGTGCGTGGCAAATTCATTGTGTCAGATAAGTAAATTAATGACTTAGTCTCAAATCTTTACCGCTACATTTTTCACATTTTACACAGTGCGACAATCATTCATCATTCATCATTCAATATTCACATTCTAGAGTCTTACTCGTGCCTTTTCCTTCCAAATAGAGTTAAATCATACTCGGGCTAATCACTGAAGATAGATATCACACTAGAACAAGAGAACTACGAGCTTTGTAAAGAGGTGACTACCATTCGGGCCGGAATGGAAAGATTGACAACTATGGTGGAGAACATGGGGATTGTTCAGAATCAGTCACTGACTCCCCCATCCCCCCGTTTAACTCAAGCTCAAATCCAAACCTCAATGATCTCTAAAGTCATCTCTGCTCTTGTTTTCGTAGCTTCAATCAGTGCTCTGCTGTATCAGATGCCTAAAGAATACCCTTGGGGGCATGCCACTCAACTTTATGCCTGAAGGATACCAACCAGCTGTTGAGGTTCCTATAATGCAACATATAATGTCATCTCCCCCTTATTGGATGAATATTCCTCCTTTTGTGATGTCTATTCCTCCTCCAGTGGTACATACTGTCCCATTTGGAAATGAAGAAATCTGCAATGCTGAACCATCTGAATGTTTGGGTGTTGAGGAAAGGATGGATGATTTCCAATACCAGTTTCAAGAAATACAGAAAGAACTTAAGGCCTTCCGTGGTAAGGATCTATTTGGAAATAACGCTTATGAATTATTCCTGGTGTCGAATATGAAGATACCAACGAAATTCAAAATACCTGACTTTGAAAAGTACAAAGGGAATTCTTGACCAGAGAGTCAGTTTACTATGTATGCCAGAAATATGTCAATAAAAACTGATAATGACCAGTTGTTGATCCACTACTTTCAAGATATTTTCTTTGGTGTCGCTCTCAGGTGGTACATGAGTTTGGATAGCGCACAAATCCGTACTTTCAGAGACCTTGGTGAAGCCTTTGTTCGCCAGTATAAACATAATGTTGACATGGCTCTGGAATGAGATCAACTCCGAGCTATGTCCCTGAAAGAGAAGAAAAGCGTCAAAGAATATGCACAAAGATGGTGTAAGGCTGTCGCCCAGATCTATCCTCCCCTAGATAAGAAAGAAATGATAAAAATATTTATGAATGGCTTGGGACGGTTTTACTATGAGAGAATGATTGTGAGTGCGCCGAATGATTTCACTGAAATGGTGAATATGGGAATGCGACTCGAGGAAGGTACCCGTTTGGGACGGTTGACAAAATAAATAGGTTCATCAAGTGGGGTCAGGAAATTTGGAAGTTGTTTCCAAATGGGAAAGAATAAGATGTCAATGTAGTTTCATCTGGAAGACCGAGAAGAAGGTATCCACAATAACATGTTGCAGCTGTTACTCTTATCATTAATCCTACACCTGTGGTACCAGCTTACTAGCCACATTTCCCTTAACAAGTTCAGCAGCCTCGACAACAGGCTCATAACACACAACATCCTCAGCAACAGACTTATAACAATCAATAATCAACATACAACAATCAGAAAAATTGAGTAAGTATGCCATGCTTTGACCCAATCCCAATGACTTATGAAGAGTTGTTACCTGGTTTACTGATAACCCGAAAATGTATCGAATATTTGGATCATTTTACATGAATTTTATCCGAATTTTAATTAATTAAATTACTCTTTATTCGTATTATGCTAGTATTTTCTATATTCTCAGGAATTTAATGTTTGCAAGGCATGTGTGAAGAAAGTCAAGAAAAGTCAAGAAAAGTCAAGCTAGTCAAGAGCAATTATGCATTGAGGGGTGTGTGGTAGAATAGGGTGCACTAAAAGCAAAAAGCTCAAGAAAGAAGCTTT